CACACACACACACACACACACACACACACACACACACACACAAATCTACTCCCTATGTTCTCATCACTGTTTGTCCAGTAAAAATAGACACCTTGTAGCTGTTGGCATGCACACATTTACAGCAACCACTTCAGCAAAAGGTGAGAAACAGGACGAGGATTGAGCAAAATGCAGAAGAAAGTGTTTGGAGAGGCTTTGACAGTTTGGACCTATTCATAAAAGGGCTCTGAACATCTGCCTGCCACTGACCACAGGAGTCAGAAGGAGCTGTGAAAGTAGCCTCCCACACGTTGTCTCTGCAGAGATTTATCGCTCCGACGGATCTCGGTCTACGTGCAAAATGGCTTGCCCGTTACGTAACCCCAACCAGCCAAGTTTAGACGATTTGGCAGTTCTACGTTTGCTGCTTTACCTCTTCTTTAAACTCTGTTGTCTGTAGCCAGGTTGAGTCAGTCCTTTTTTGGTTCCAAAGACACCAAACTGCACCGATTGATGGTAAATGCTCGAACAACGAGCTGCAGCCTCAAGCTTGACTCACCTGCTGCGGTTCCCTCGTAGAGCTGTGGGAGGACCGCCGTTACATAATGAACTCACAGCTGCCACCAATTGTGGTCACTCTACTTTATCCCAGTTGGGAGTCTACCAGCAGGACCAGACTGCTCTGCCAGCCAAGAAGCTGTATACCACTTCCTGTGGTGACTCCGCAGGGCAGTCTCGTTAGCACAGCCAGACACCCTGCCCCTCATCAGGCAATGGAGGTGATAAACAAGAGAAGCAAGAGAACAACAAACCAATTATGTCCCTATATTGTTTTCACCAAATGCAACATTTYCTAGATCTACTATTGTTGCACAATCTAAAACGTTTTGACCCATATTCATTGTTTTCTTTTGTTTTTATAGCAGTATAATCCTTAACCTTGCAGTTTAATGAGTCAGCAGACGTATTTCTTGACTTTTATTAGAACATTTTGCCAGAGATGTGGTTAAAGAAGTTCCAAAACTGACTCCGTTTTTGGTAAAGGGAGGCCTTCTTCCAGCTCACACTGTCAGAAGTGGGCCCACACACATTTTTGGTTGATTTTTGTTTTATTTATTTATTTTTAAATTTATTTTAATTTTTTTTATTTTTTTTTATTTCTTTGCAGTTTTTCTTTTGGCTGACTTGAAATGTTAAAACTGCACCAAATCTGGATTCTCCAAACTTTAGGTTTTGCTTGGAGAGTTTGTTAAATGTCTAAGTAACCTCACAGTTTGATTCAGAGGCTTTTCTTCTGCAAAACTTTTGACCTTTTTTCTTTTTCTTTTTGGTTGTTGCAGGACTGGAACCGCACGTGGTACACAGCCAACCCTGACCTAACCCAGTGTTTCCAGAACACAGTGCTGGTGTGGGTCCCCTGCATTTATTTATGGTTGTTGGTCCCTTTCTACTGCCTTCACCTCTATTGTCATGACAATGGACGGATTCAAATGTCCTACCTCTGCACAGCCAAGATGGTGAGACTTCTCTGATTTTTCTTTGCACAACAGAATCAACGTTTAAAAAGAAAAAATTCTTCATTTTCCTTTTCCAAAATCTTTCAGAGATGTTTTGGCAACTGGCTTCTCAGAAGTTTGCTCCAGCTAAAAATATTCCCGTCTTTTTCAGGTGTTGGGTTTCCTGCTGGCCTCGTTCGGCTTTGTTGAATTCTTCTACATCCTGCTGGAGAGAAGTCAAGAGATTCAGCAGCACATGGTCTTCCTGCTGAGCCCCATCACACGCAGCATGACTGTGGTAAATCCTGTGGCTCTTTTTCACACATCTGCATCCGACAAATTAGATTCAAATCACTTCCGGTTAAAAAGGGTGACAACTTCTCACACTGTTTTATGAAATGATTGGTTTAAAGGGTAATYAAACAATGTTTGTATGGAGGACCAAATCGGACATAATTAGAAATAAAAGCAGAAATATAGAAATGGACCAAGAAATAAAAATACTCTTAAAATGCACCAATTAAATTATTAAAGGAGAACTTTACTTCATGTTTTATAATTTAGCTGATCTTCGTATTTACTTTTCCAGCTACAGTTTAACACATAATTCACATTTGACTGTTTTAAAATATATATTTTTATTTTATTTGTACATACAGTTGTGTCTCTTAAATGATTATATTTAATTGCAATTTTATATAATTTTTTCTCTCAATTCTTTTTGTTTCCATGTGGTGTTTTTACATTTCTCTGTCTCCTGTTTTTGCTTTAACTTATGCATTTCTGCCTCATTATGCAAATAAGGTGGGCGGGGCATCTTGGGTCAGATCCTCTCCTACAGACAGGAAGGAACAGGATCCATGTGCAGATCTACTGTGCATGCTGGTGCTGCCTCAGTTTAGCTTAAAGTTTAAAGTTTAGTTAAAAACATAGACACAGGTAAATGTTTTCCACCTTGCTTTTGTTTTGAACTAAACTTTAAACTTCAAGCTAAACTGAGGCAGCACCAGCATGCAGAGTAGATCTGCACGCGGATCTTGCTCCTTCCTGTCTGTTGACCATATATATATATAT